TGTGGCCCCTCCACCGCACGCCGCACTTCAGCCGCTCGCAGCGGCTGTTCACGTCCTGGCAGCATGGCCTCGTGGCGAGCCTTGGGGCGGCGATGGGGATCGGCTTCGTCGCCTTCCTGCTCTACGCGCCGGTGAAGGAGGACACGGTGCACCACACGGCGGTGGTCGCCTCGGAAGCGCTTGGGGATCTCCGGCTGAAGGGGCGCGCGGTGGAGCTGTCAAAGGAGGTCGTCGACAACGTCCTGAATGACCCGAAGACGCTGCAGTTGGTGGTCGGGATCGCGGTGAAGCTGCTCGCGCAGGAGGATACAAAGATCGCCATCTCCTCGCTCTTGAGGTCTTTATTTGAGGATCATTACACACAGGAGATCACCAAGAAATTCGTGCTGAAAATCTTGCGGGATCCGTGGATTATGGAGCAGATCCACGTTATCGCCAAGGATCACACACTGAAAATTATTGAAACAAAGGAAGTCAAAACGGCTTTGACGAAACTCTTCACGGAGTGCATCGAGAGAATGGTTGAAAACTCAGAACTTCAACACAGTGTGGCACGAGCCATACGGGTATCTTTAATTCGAGCTATCAACCCTTTGCTATAACGTTTGTCCTTTCCTTTTGACGCGTGGACCATGCATTCCTTCGCTTTAGGATCCGTAGCATCTACGCTTTTTTCACACATCACTTTTTATAGCTTTTTTCGCTATGAGGTAACGGAGGGTTGGTCATGGATACTTTATACCATTGTGTACCAACGTGTAACCGACATCTGCTTGTATACTCTCACATAAATGGAAATATGAAAAAAGAAGCCAGAATGTTTTTCCCTTTGTGCTAGGATTTGCTAGACATTTTTGATGCACCCCATGGTATGTATGAAGAAATATTTTTTTGTGAATTCTACTCATTCTATATACATTTTGGATTCTTTTTCTCTCAAGAAACAGTTCGTTCAACTTATTCTTAGCGTTTTTTTCTTTGTTGGTTACTCCATCCAGCAATGTGCGCCGAGTCTTCTATTCTTGTGGAGAAGCATGTAAACTTCATCCATTCGATTGATAAGAAGATGCTGTGGAAGGCACACCATTTGAAAATGAGTGGTGTGTACTGGGGTCTGTCTTCGCTAAACCTTCTCAATCGCATGGATTACGCTAAGGAGGATGTGGTGGCGTTTGTGTGCAGCTGCTACAACGAAGATGGGGGTTTTGGCGGCAACCAAGGTCATAGCTCACACATGCTCTATACCATGTCCGCCATCCAGCTCCTTTGCTTTTTCGACGCGTTAGATCATATCAAACGTGATAAAACCGCCGCATGGCTCGCCTCCATGCAACTCCCTGACGGATCTTTCCAAGGGGATAAGTGGGGTGAAGTGGATACGCGCTTTTCGTTTATTGCCGTCAGCGCGCTGCAGCTTATTGGGCGCTTGGAGTGTATCGACCTCGAGGCGGCGGTGCGTTGGGTGATTTCTTGCCAAAACTGGGATGGCGGGTTCGGCGTCGTCCCCGGCGCGGAGAGTCACGCCGGGCAAATCTACTGCGCACTCGGTGTTCTCACCATCGCAAACGCGCTCGATCGCATCAACACCGACGAGCTGGCGGCGTGGCTGGCGATGCGGCAGCTCCCCTCCGGCGGCTTAAATGGGCGTCCGGAGAAGAAAGCGGATGTCTGCTACAGCTGGTGGGTGATCTCCTCGTTGGCGATGTTGAATCGAACGGATTGGATCGACCGCGAGGCGCTCTTTCGCTACATCTTTTCCTGTCAAGACGACGAGGACGGCGGGATTTCGGATAAGCCCGGAAACGCGGCGGATGTGTATCACACCTTCTTCGGTTTATGTGGGTTAAGTCTGCTGAACTACAAGGGCTACCCTCTGAAGCAGATTAATCCGATATACGCGATGCCTTATGACGTGTTGGAAAAGATAGGGGTGCCCGAAGATCGGGGTCTTTACGTCGGTTTCAGACGTTCCTAAAAACATGCATGGTATCTACGGTCTTTGAACGGAGATACACATGGGTTTTTTACTAGTATTAGTCGCACGCGGATTCTTATTACGTGATGTGCAATTATGTTCAATCTTAAATTTGCAAGGACTTTGGATTCAAAAGGTAATAACAGACTAATAATATTTCCCTTTTCCGCACTCTTCTTCTTTAATTTTTAACTAAACTGATTAAATTAATGAGAAACAGATATTTTCGTTTCTTTTTATTTCTATGGGTTGAGTATATTATTCCCAATTTCAACAAAAAGCATGCAAATGCGTTTGTTTGCCACCTCTCGCCTGCTATTTGGCGTCATTTCGAGAGGAAGATTCCTTGAATGTTACCGTAACACCTCTGGAGGTGAATTAAGCTCGCAATCGAGTATGCCTTTAGGATCCTCTTCACGTTTGATGGATAATACACAGACACTTCATTCTACCGTTGAACCTGTGTGCAATAAATCGAGCGTTAGCTCCGAGCTGACCACGCGTGCAACTTCTCAGATGTCCGCGCTTCGAGAAAGCAAACCAACGATTGCTTCACTTCCCTGGCATGTGAACCTAATCGAAAAAATTCTGTCTAATAAAACTTTGCCGTTCACTACGAAACAAAAACGGATCACAGGGGTTGTCCAAAAGCTCGAGACCCATCATTTGGAGTGGCTCGAGGAAGTTGCCATGGATTCCAACCTCCCCTTTCACTGCTATGCACTTTTGCGGGCTCTGACGAAGGCGCTGCCGTTCTTCCGCGATCCGAGGAGAGGGCGACGGGAGGGTTGCTCGTACACCTCAGAAGAGGATTCGAAATGGTCGGCCGCGTCTCCATACTTCTCCGAAAGCCTCAACGACTCCCTCTGCGTTTGCCTACGCACCGCCATCCCAAAGCACTCGACCACCGCGGAGCTGACGACACTCCTGCGTGGGGCGGTGGAGCTCGAGCTCGCGGATCTATCGTCGTTGAAACACATCTCGTATAAATTGACTTCTCGGGATCGTTGGATGGGTTCTTCCGCATCCGACGCCGTGGAGGTGCTTTGGCTGCTTTCACTCGCGGTGCGGCGCTGCAAACTACCACCGCCGCCGGTAAATCACCTGCTCTGCCGCCTCCCTAGCAGCAAACTCACACCGCGGGAGGGATTACAAGTCTTTTCGGCGTTGATTCGATTGAATGATCGCGCCGGGAACGAGGTTTTTGAGATTCTATCCCGTCGCGCGGTGGAGGATGTCGGGGCGTACACCACGCAGGATGCCATTTTTGCACTCCAGGCTGTTGCGCTGCTCGATAATTCACATATTGCCTTTGCGGGGGCTACGATTGAGCGCTGCGCGGAGCTGGCGCCTCGAATGTCCGCGAAAAATATCGGCGACATCGCGAAGTCTCTCGCACTGCTTCACTCCGGGCGAAAATACAACGTCGTGGCGGAGGGCTGTGCGAAGGAGCTTCAACGTACCCTCGCGGCGGTTGCCACGCGTGCGGAAGAACTTTTAGGATTGTTTTCTCTTCGTGATGCCCGCCACGTGCTGAAATGTCTGACAGTTCATAAAGTACGCCATACCATTTTATTTTCTCGCCTCACACCGTTTGTTTCAGACGATTGAACTGAGGATCTTGAATGGTTGCAAAAGTACAGACGGTTTCTTGCCTTTTTTCTAGCACTTCTTCATTCTATAAGGTTTCGTTTCATTTTCCTTGTCTTGATCGTTTTATCCTTGCTTTGCCCACTCTTCCCTAACATCACGCTCTTCCCCTGTCTTTTTTCTTTCTCGACGTGTGATTTGGCCTTTTCACCACAAAGCCTCAATACTTACCTCATCCAAGTTCTTTTTCGTGCTCGTCGTTTCCCCTTTTCTTTCGGGCGAAAACACCATCCTCAACCCCACCCTCACCAACCACCTCTTTCATTTCAAAATGGCCAAGGGAAAGAAGTCTGCTGACGCCAAGGGCAGCCAGAAGCGCCAGAAGAAGGTGCTGCGTGATAACATCCGCGGCATCACCCGCGGTTCCATCCGCCGCCTCGCCCGTCGTGGCGGCGTGAAGCGCATCTCCAGCGAGATCTACGAGGAGGTGCGGCGGGTGCTGAAGGGATTTGTGGAGGGCGTCGTGCGCGATGCCACTTCGTATACGGAGTACGGCCACCGCCGCACCGTAACCGCGTCGGATGTCGTGAACGCCCTGCGCAAGCGCGGTCACATCCTCTACGGTTACGCGTAAAAAAAAAGGGAGGAGGAATGAGGGTAATTAAAAAAAAATCACCCCACCATGAGAAATCACGGAGGGAAAAAGAGGAGGATAGAAGGAATGAACTCATTCTTTCATTTATTCATTATCGATCTTTCGAGAGTGTTTGATGAGATGTGAGAGGGATTTTCTTTTTTCTTTTTCTTTTCATCCTTCTTCTCATGCTTTTATAGACGTTTTTTTTATTATTTTTAATTTATTTTGACTGACTTCATACCCCATCATTTTCCGTTTTTCTTTGTTCTCGGAATTGTAATAAGATATAGAGACGCCGTGAAAAGGAAAGAAAACTTTATTCAATTTGAAACTGAATAAGCTGTCCCAGTGAATATTGAAAAATGGAAAATTTTTACTTCACGGATATGAAACCACCATTATAGCCCTCCCTAAATGTTTTCATGCATGTAGAGGGATGGTGATTGCCTTGATGTCAGAGTATACATATGGATAAACATCCGAAACTATATTTTTTTCTTGTCTATGATTCTGTTCTTTTTTCCATTTAAAAGAAGTGCTATACCCACTCACTCCATTCCTAGTTTAGTTACATATATAAATATATATATAACTTATACATACCCTTTCATGGAGAGCGGAGGCCCCCCAAAGGACTTTAAACCACTTCTGCCATTTAATGATTTCCTAAGTCAGAGCGTCAAGGATGAACTCGAGGAACATCGAGATTTCAATTCCATCTTTACCGATAGTAACGATACCGATGGGCATGGCCTACGAAGCAAATGGAGTCGATTATCCACCGAAGACTTGGATCTCTTTTCCAACGAAACTGTCACCCTTTTCAAGAAGCTGGAGAACATGTGTACGTATTACAAGCTCGATGAATGCCTCGACCTCGTGGCGAAAATTCGAGGGGCCGTCAACAACGAGCTCCATAAGTACCTCATGCACATCGAAGAGAACTACGCGGCGGGTTTCAAGAAAATGCTGCATCAACCCTCTCTAGGCGCCACCCCCCCTAACACGGGTGTCATGGAAACGCAACTCGATGTCGACGGGCTCCAGACGATCTTCTCGTCCTATGGGGTGGGCATCGAGAACGATCAATTGCGGCAGAAAAAAAAAGACCTTCTTGAGCAGTGCCCGAAGGAGTGGCCGACGCTCATCCGGCTAAAAGTTGCGCAGGATATCGCCACCCATCACGACGAGATCACCACCCCCCTCCCCCGGCGTCTGACGGTGAAAGAGGCGCTTTCCAGCATCACCGGGCTCTTCGCGGAATCGCTCGCGACTCTGCTTTCTTGCGAGGTGGTTCGCGTTTACCTCTACGATGAGAATCACAACCTGCACTGCTGTGCGACCTTCCCTTTTCACGCGAAACAAGGCGATCCGATGCGAGCGACTTATGAGGAGATCATGCTCGTGAAGGATTTGCATCAGACGATCTGTGGGAAGTGTATCGCCGTGAACGGCCGGGAGGAAGTGAATGTCGCGTTGAAGGATGGCGATATGGAGCGAATTCGGCAGGAAATGACGTCGAGCGGGCTCGGCTCCATCCGAAGCTGTTTGATCTTCCCGATCGTCTCCAGCGATTGCCCACAATGCGCGCTCGGGATGCTGCATGCCGTGAATAAAGTCTGCGCACCGCCGGTGGATAGCAAAAAAGGCCGCAACTTCTCCGCAGATGATGAGCTTCTCTTATCGATGGCATCGCGCGTGCTCGGCTGCGTGTTAACGCGCTACCCGGTGAGTTTCTTCTCCCTGCGTGTCGGTGAGGCGATTCGAAAGGCAGTTTTCCCCCACGAAGACAATGAGGCCGTCGAGGCCGCGCACCTCCACGCGGAGTTGCTGCAGGATCCGTTTGTCGAGGACGCCTCTGGCGTAGGATCGCGCGCGATGACGTCGACGGAGCAGATTAAAATTCTCCGCGCGTCCGTTACAAGCGTTTATCAAACCTCCACGCATCGCCAACGACTTCGCCGGATGGGAAATCTCGGCCAGCTCGATACGACCCTCTCCTCCGTGGAGTTCAACCTCAACGTGATGAACGAGCTTTGGAAAACGGGAATCACGGAAAACGTGGCGATGCATCAGCAATACCGCCAGCTCGAGGAGGAGCTCAAGAAGACGAAGCTGTTGTTGGAAAATGTGCTCGACGGCTTATCCGCCGTGCGGGCTTTTCACAACGCGGAGAAGATGGCGCAGTGCATCCAAACCCTCGAGCTCTACGCGCGGAGCAAGAGTATTGACATTTTAACGGAGTTTATCCACAACATGATCGTCGAGGAGGCCACCCGGGAGGGCTTTAAAAGCAAAGATCCGATGAGCTCCACCACGCTCTGGAGCAGCACGGTGTACTCGCCCAAAGGCGATTCCTCCACGGAGGAATTGAAATCCTCCCACGACGTTGCGACGTCGAAAGGGCTGGAGTCCTCGCCTTTTCTCACGCAAACGGATATGGTGGAGCTTCGCCGACATCAAGAGCGACTGAACGCGAAGGTGGCGTCTCGAATCCACTTCGACGGCCCGGAGGGCATCCGAAGCTACTCATGTGATCCGAAACGAAAGCGAGAGCAGATCCAGTTTATCGAGCAGGTAATGTGTGAAAGCACACTCGCATCGCAGGACAATCTTAGAGGTGGATGTCCACCCCTGGGCCATCCCCACAAATCCGCCGTCGAAAGCTCGGGAAAAAATTTAGGAAAGCCTTGGAGACTTCAAGGAAATAATTCTAGTCAATCCTTTTCTCAAACCGACTTTGCCTTAAAGCGGCCTTTTAGGCTGAGGTAAAATTAGCTCGATTCTATGTAAATAAGGTGTGTGTAATCAAATCGATTAAAAAAAAAACATATTTAGATAGAGTGTGAGAGAGCCGCAGGAATAGATTCAAAGAATCATTCTGTCGTTTGCTAACTTATTTTTTTTAAAAGAATAAAAAGACGATTCTCGCAGAGACTGTGTTTTTTTGTTTTTTTTTTATCTTTAACTCACACGCACATATGTATTAAAAATCGTATTTTTCCTTCTTTATTTGAAGTTCAAAGTCACACGAATTGTTTATTTTTGTAAATTATTCGCGATAAAGGTTTTTGTTTGTGTTGGTTGGTTGCGGCGTTATAAGTTAAACTGGTTTTTCGATTTATTGTGGAGGTGGTTGTTAAATGTTTTATCTGAGTTAAGACTATCTAAATAATCCTTTGGTAATTCTCATTTTCAAGGAGTGGAAGGAGCGACTTCAACGACAAGATGAATTCCGAAAAGTCCACCAAAAAAGATAAGAATGTCAAAAAAATTTCCAAGGCCAATGCTCAGGTCATCGAAATTGATGCGGCTGTCGACCAAGCGCATAAAATGTTCCATGAACATGAAAAAAAGCGCACCGCCGACGAACAGGTCGACAAACGGGTTCGCAACAAGAAACTGATGCTCGATATTATCGGGAAAGAACGGATTGCCGAGGAGCGGTCGATGGTCCTCGCGCTTCGCAAGGAGTTCCTCAAGGAGGAGCAGCTCGCTTTCATGGAGCACGAAAAGCACACCGCGTGGCGGCACCTTGCGGACGCCTCCGACCTCCCCGACGTCCACAAGGAGAACGAAATCAACACCTTTCTCAGCCTCTGGGAGGATAGCGAGGCCGCGTACGACGTGGCCGTTCCCGAGACCGTCGTGATCGTCTCCCAACACGCGCCCGGGGAGCCCTATGAGAAGCTTTTTATCCGTGGCGAGCAAGGCCTCTCCGCCGGGCGGCGGCAACGTTTCGTGCAGGAGGAGCTCCGTCGCTGTTTCAAGGCGTATCAGCTCGCGGAGGCGATCAAAATCGCGCGGGACGCCGCCGCGGCGCGCGGGGAGGTCGCCGCGGTGGCCTTCCACAACGGCACCCTCGCGAAGGTCCACGCGCGGTTGATGGCCGCGCTCGATTTCGTCACCGTCACGGCGCTGCTGTATTACGACAAGATCATCCCCGACAGCGCCGCGGAGACGCTGAGTTGTTTGATCCCGGAGCCGACCCCGGTGTTGAAGTATGGGTTGTGGGTGAAGGTGAAGAACACGACGCGGACGTTTAACTCGTTGATTTACCCCAAACTGGAGATCCGGCTCGATCCGAAGTTGAACGGCCCGCCGAAGCTCCCGAAGGCGCTCGGGATGAGCCGGGAGAACGTCGCGTTGCGGGTGATGCAGTTCGCCTTCGACCCGTTCGACGGCCGCGCGTGTGGGGCGCGGCGGGAGTTCTACGCCCTCGCGTGCACGCTGACGGGGAGTTTGCTCGATTTCCTCGAGCGCCCCCGGGTGCAGGAGCGGTGGGCCGTGCGAAGTGAAACCCGCGAGGCGCACCTCCTCCACGAGCAGCCCTACCCCCCGCCGACGACCGAGGCGAGGCTGGAGGAGACCGCCTTCACCCTCTCCTTTGAGGTACCCCCGACGATTATCATCCGACAGCCGACGCTGCTGATCGGGAAGTGGGTCCGCGCCGACGCCGCGGCGACGGAGGACCCTGCGGGGGGGGGGGGGAAAGAAAAAAAAAACGAAACCGATCAAACCGAACCCCACGGCGGCGCCGGGGAGTGGGAGTTGTGCAGCCACGCGACGTTTGGGGTGGGGTTGCCCGGCGGCGGCGGCGGGCCCCGGCGGGCGACCTTTCTCACGAGCGAACTCGCGCATTTTGCAGTGTTGCAGAAAAAAACGTTCGACGCGCCGTACGCGGGGTGGAATCTGCAGCCCGTGAGCTACGATCGCGTCGTGCTCACCTTGCAAGGCCGCTACCGCGGCGAGGCGAGCGATCGCGAGTTCGTCCTCCTCGTCGAGGACGCCGCGTGCAAACTGCTGACGCCCGACGACGCGGAGTTGGAGCGGCTGCGCGCGACGTGGATGGAGCCCGCGACGCTCTTCCGTGAGCTCGCCCAGGTGGGGTTTCATTTCATGCTCGACGACAGCGATGCGAGTTTTATCGATGATTTAAAACCCAAAAACCACGCGCTCGAGGCGAAGGCCTACGCCGATATCGCGCATTTCTGCCAGTACTACATCTTCGCGAATACCCGGCACAACAAGTACGGCGAGGATCCGGATATGGCGCTTTTTCGAATGTCGAAGAAGTGCCGTGGGGTGGACGAGGAGCGGAAGGTGTTTCAGCTCTTGGATACCACCGAGGAGAGCTGGTATAGCGTGCGTTATCACCGCGATCGCTGCGTGCTGAGTGCGTTTAAGGAATCCGAGGAGGTCGCCAACCTCAGTGCGCTCGACGGCTGCGAGCCGCACTTTGATTTATACACGATGTTGCTCCCTGTCAAAGGCGAAGAAACGATGCGGGAGCAGTTCTCCAACACCAACTATCTTCTTCGCCGTTGTGTGCAACAGATTCTGTCGATCATACGTCCTCTGACTTGGGGTTGAGCATTGAGGTGTGTTGGAGGAGGGAGGGCGGAGTAATCTTCGACCCCTATTGCGTCGTTAGTTGTGATTTGGTTTACGTTGGCTTTTGCCTCCCTTTGGTCTGGTTTCCGATTTCTAGAGGTCTAGTGGTACGCCATGGATCGATACATTACTTTTCTTCCTTATATTCTTGGGGCATCCAAAATTGGAGGATTGGGAATCGGCTTGCGTGTAGGTTCAAATACCTAAGGGTGAAGAATGGTGATGGTGAACATTTTTTGCTGCCCTTCATGTTTGTTTACTTCATCTTTTCCTGATGTACAATTCCATTTTATTCCATTTTAAACCCTTGCCACGTTATTTATCGATGCAAGACACGCTTGTACGCAAGGTAATGGCTCCCCTATACTGTATGCAGAATATGCTCCATCTTATTCTTCTTACTCCTGGTCTCTTTCCTTATTACGATTTCACCTTTTCATTTTTTTACAAAAGGCAGTTCCCTTCCCTTACGAGAAAACTATGTCTTGCACCCTAAAATCATAATATCTAATTATAAATCTGACGATAGAATATTTTCTTTTTCTTTTTTCATACATTGATTTCCAACAATTTGGCGGACTCCATGCTACGGCGTTCGCTGCGAAGACTCACCTTCGCCAATGGGAGCTTCAACGAAAGACTTCGCAAGAACGACGGCTGTGTTTCGCTGCAACAGTCTTTTAAGCTCTTTGGTCTCAACCCTAACGATACTTGCTCCGATCAAGAAATCAAGAAGCGTTTCAGGGAGTTGGCGCTCAAATGTCATCCCGATAGCGGTGGCAGCAACGAGGAGTTCCGGGTTCTCAAGGATGCGCAGGAGATGGTTCTCACACATCAACGCAATGGTTTGAAACCAGACTGTTTCACGTTTCATGCTCGTCGACGAAGACGTCGGGTGGTGGACGTGAACTACATCGATGAAACGTACGAGACCTATTACAAGACACCCGGCCGAGAAGACTACTGCACCTATTGCACTGAGGATTATACTGTTCTTATCTTTTTATCCTTGGTATTAAACTTTTTTTTCTACCAACTACGTAAGATGCACAAGCGAAATATCCCAAGCTATTCGAATTAATCTTTTATGCGGCGTTATAAACTATATTAGTACAACGTGAAGCTGTGAGGGAAACTAGTCAAATATATCAACTGAAGTGAGCAACTTTTCAATTTATGGATAAATAAATATATAATATGCACATAAATAATAAAAACCTATAATGCGATCAACCTAGGATAAATCGTTGCTTGCTCTGCTCAACAATGATTTTAGAATAGCAAATGATTTTTGTTTATTTAATTAGGGATATTGCAGGATAAAAAATGTGCCTAAGATCTACGCTGATAATTTTTAAAATAACATGCAGAGAACGGAGATGCTTTCACACTTTCTAAATTTTCAATTTCTATTGATAAAAAAAAATGAAACCTTCTGAATGAAATATATATTTTTTCCTTGAGTTCCCAAGAAGATGAATAGATGTCATATAAGACAATAAAAATAGATATAATTCACCACGTTGTGAGTTTTTTATGTGTTGCACTCCTTGATGTTCCTTTTTCTTTTTCCATCCCTGAGGGGTTTATTTCCCTGCACTCTATAGTTTGATGTATCTGAAAAAATTTATCTCCTTTTGGTGGTGCTCATTTTCTAGAAATTATTGAGTAGAAATGGCACACGACTCCGCCGATACCCCAACGAGCACGGTGGATAATCAAGATGAGAGGCAAGCGTTAGCGCGTCTCACGGAGGAGCTAAAACAAACGCAAAGTAAATTTGAAGAATGGAAAGCCAAGGCTAAGGTTGGTGTCGATCAGCTTCGAGGGCGAATAGTGGAGCTTACAACACAATTGGAGGCCTCAGAATCCCAAAGACAGACGCTCGTGATGTCGTTAGATAAATTAAGATCCTCCAAAGAAGGCGACCTCACATGGATAGAGGGATTAGGAATGAATCATAATTTAGGCCTCCTGGCGCTTGAGCGGGAGCGCGCCGTTGGTGAATACCTCTTACAGGCTTCTCACGATAAGATAGAGGCGGTATGGGAGGCACTTCTTCTTCAATTCAACGATTTTCCCCCTAACGCCGTTAAAGATCAGCCTAGTTCGACCTCCGAGGATGAATTGGAACGTTACAAACAACGAGTCGCCACGACGATGAAATTGCAGCAAAAGAACTCTGAGGCGCTTCAAAATCAGGTCGTAGAGCTCCAACAGCGTCTTCAGTTGGCGGAAAAAGAGCTGCAGGAGCGCGCCGCGGCGCTGTCAGGGAAAGAAGAAACGGTTTCGTTATTAGAGCAGCGACTTAGCAGTGTCGAGCGCGCGTACGAGGAGCTCCAACAGACGCACGACACCCCGCTTGGTGGCCCGAATATGGATCGAATCAGCGCGATGGAGGAAAGGATGGAGGAGGAGCTTGACCGCCTCCGCGCGGAGTTCATGCAACACGAGAATACCGTTCTAATGCAACACCACGACGAACTTGAGCGACTTCAATCGATGCACGAACGCGAAATTCAGGCGATTCAGCAGGAAGCGGAGGAACGGCTTGCGCGTGAGCTCGACGCGGCCCTTTCTTTTCAGAAACCTCAAGCCATGCCGTCGCCATCGTCGCCGTCCACTCAGGAAGATGCGGCCTATTTAGAGCTTCTCAAAGAGTTTGAGGCCCTCGAAAGTCAGCACCGCACCCTCATTCAAGAACACGCCGCGATGAAGAATATAATGCAACAGTTAAACTCCCGAAAGGATGCGGAAGGGACGGATGACCGGAAGGCGATCTCCATTTCATGTCATCAACACAACCCCACCTCTCTTGCAGAGGCGAAAGAACTGATTGAGGGCCTCCAAACATGCCTAACTACCACTACCGATCAGCTATGGCAGTTGAAAAAAAGTTTGATGAGCGGAAACGAAAATAAAGCCCCGGAAGGAGCGCTTGATCCCCAGCATGTTACGTATTTACGATCTATTATTGTAAATATTTTCTGCCTATGCGATAAAAATTCGACGATAGCGAAGCTCCTACCCGTGACCAGCACTCTTCTTGAATTTAGTAAAGAGGATTTGGATGCGATATATGCAAACAAGCCTGAGTGGAAGCGCCGTCAATAGGCAGATTGCGTCAGGGGTAGTAATGAAAAATACTTGATTCGTTGGCTATTGCATTGTTATTATTATTTTAAAAAATTCCTTCACAAAAATAGCATGTGGTTTGCCATAATACCTTCCTTAAAAGCATATTTAGGTGATAAAGAAGAGGGGAGGGGGAAGGTATCCGCTTCCGAGGTCTTGTAAAGAGTATATGATGCGGTCGTTTGAAATCTGTGGCAGCCCCAGGATATTTTTCGTTTGGCGCGCCTGAATGCACAAGTTCATTTTTATAACGATATCATGTGATTTTTCCTTCTGATGAACCTTATCGTTGACCGCGCAGGGGGTCGGCAACTATAGAGGTTATCATTCACATTTCTACATCATAAATTAAATACTGAAAGCTGTAATGCATTTAGTTTATCAAATGCATAAGAAAAAAAATGGACATGAGTTATTCTTTAGGGATAGAGTATTATATCAGGCATACCAAACATGAATGTTCATTCAAACCTCGTGAGGAAAGGCCCAAGGAAACTATTACACCTCCCTATAGTCCTGTTGCAGAAGCTTGAGGTATGCGCTTGTTCATGCGGATATGGATAACTTTCCCTTTTCAATTGTGTGTATTCCAAAGAAAATTAATAAGTGTGATCTTTCTAAAATTACCGCTTTTGGTAAAATTGCTTGCTAAAGTTGATCCTTTTAATAATTTCCTTTCCAAGAAGTCCAAAGGAACTCCATACCCGTGTGTGTGTTTTCTAAACCATGTCTCATTTAGGGAGGCGATTTATGTCAGTCCTTTTCTCGACTGATCCCAATGCCACCTTATCGAGCGAAATCGTCCGAAACGAAGAGGCACGGCTGAAGCTGGCTTCCGCTCGTATCGAGCATCATGAGAGGGAGATGGAACATGAGAGCAAATTAAAAGCTTTGGATGACCAAATCAAGGAAAAACGCGAACAATACGCCAAGCAAGCGAACCCATTGTTGGAGGAATTCAACGGCGTGGCCGTTGCGGAGCACTACTACGATGAAATCAAAAATTTTTTCCTCAGTCAGCATTCCATGGCTGAGAGGCTGGCGAAGGAAGAGCTGGGTAACTTTGCATACATTAGCAAAAAGCTAATATCCGTCTCCTTGAATTTCGAGGCGTTCCGACAGAAGTTGAGGTCAGGACGGCCGTTTAGAAAAGAGCTCCAGGCCGTGTTAGATGATGCCGAAAGTCAGGATTTGAACTTCATATCGACTCCGCTTTTCGCGTTCGCGGAGGATGGCGTTCCACGGTCGGAGATAGTGCGCGCCGCCGCCTTCAACCTCGCGCACGCGATCGAGGAAATGGGCAAAACGCCCATGCAGGATCCCGTTCGCGGGTGGTTGGATTTCTTAAAATTCAGAACTACCTTCAGTCCTACTACGCTGCAGATGAATGAAACTTTAGCGCGCGGCAAGGCGCAGGTCTTTATGCGGCATATTAACCTCGCGGAGTACCCCAAAGCGCTCAACGTCGCCGATGAAGTTTTCCATAACATGAGCAAAGAGAAGGATGCCACGTACGATAGCTTTTTGGCCACCTACCGAAGCTTTCGGAAGGCAATATTTCCACACATCGCGGCGGATATTTTTAATATGTATGCTCAGTCTTCGCTGAATGACTCCCGCTTTGCGTGTGTTGAGAGCATGCTGAAGGCGTGAGATCGAAATGCAAATGCCGTCATGAACTCGCAGGCGGGCGAAGGAGGTAAAGAGGTTCTGTTTTTCGCATTCCTGGGCGTAATGTGTTGGCGTCTAGGTGTGTATGTGGGGTGGGGGTGGGGGGGGGGGAGCTTATCGATATTATGGCTAAAAGATAAGTGATGTGAAATGGCTGGCGGTACCATGTTTTTCGTCTAGCTAAACGAACGGAAAGTTGGGTTCAAAAGATGCGCTATGTTCGTTTCTCCCTTTATCTCCCTCTTCTATTGGCTGTATTTTAACGAACTTTTGCACTTGATCTTGGGTTCAATAAGGTTCGTAAACTATATGTGACGAATGCGTTTGATACGTTATTTTATCTGTTTTTATTATTGTTATTACGATCAAGCCTTTTCTCTCTCTCCCACGTTTTCACCCAATTTTTCTTATTTTTCAAGGATTATCATACGCATTAAAACGTCATTGACGTTCCGAAAAGAAGCCCATCCCGCAAGGCGATGTCCATCCTAGCGACGAAGATAGAATCCGACCTCCTGGCGGCCTGCCAGGCTCGTGATGCGGAGGCCTTTCGCGCGGCTTTTGCCACCCTCGATCAAAAACGCTCCGACCTCCCTTTTGAAGCGATCCCTGCCGCCCTCTCCCTCCGCTGTTGTGAGGAGGCGATTTGGATGGAAGTATGGGAGATTGCGGATCTCTGCCTTGCTCGCCTTCGCGCGGAGGCAACTCTCACCCCGATTCTCGAATCCCGCGTGCTTTTCTGTGAATCTCGGCTGCGTTGCCAACGAAATGACGACGACGCCGCGCGAGGTGGGGATTGGATTCAACATCGCCACGCCTGCGCGGCGTTGGCGGTGCAGGGGATCAAACTCGCGCTCCGGCAAACCCCATGCGAGATGCGCCTTGTGATGGAGGGCGCGGATCTCCTTTGGGGGATTGTCGAGCCGATTTATTTTTCCGGCAACTTCGCCGCCGTTCTTGAGGTGGTGGTGTTTTTAAAATCGCTCTACGATCGTTTGGGGATTGGTGGGGGTTACACACGCATGCAGTGGGGGATTCGCCACGCCACCTGTCTTCGCGGGCTCGGCCTCCCGCAGGATGCGCTGCCAATCGTGAACGAAGCAATGGAGATCTCAAGTCGGCTCCATCACGATCGGTTGCATCTGCAACTCCAGCGTTTTTTAAGCCTCACGCTGGCGGAGAAGGATTTGGGGAATTCGAAAACCACCCGAGGGGAGGGCAGCAGCCTCGGCAGCGTGAAAGGGTTGTATCAACACACCGTGCATCTCACGCAACTCATTATGAGTGGGCATATCGAGCTCAACCCCGCGGTGTATCTCGATTTGATCAACTTATACGAACGCATCAACGCCTCTCAGAAGCGAAAGACCTCCGATCCGTTCACGGAGACCGCGATGATGGCCTCCTCGATGGTGAAGATCACCCCTCACCCCAAAGGTGGGAAATCGGCCAAAAATCAGCAGCAACAGCTTCAAATCACGGAAAACGACATTACGGATCCCCAGGTGCAGCAAGAGGTGCTGGGGGATTTGGTTTTTTGTTTGGTGGTGTACGGCGAGGAGGAATGGGGAGGACGGGCGGGACGGATTCTGCAACAACTCGCGCGAAACGCCGGAGCGCGAGGGCGGGTGTTGGCCGCCCTCGTTGATGCGGTTGGGGTGGGGTTGAAAGGGTGGCAGACCTTCCACGCCACGAGCCTCCCGCCGGATGCCCCGTTTGCCCGTCGTTCCGCCCAACTCGAGCTTCTACGGCAGATTCGCAAAGTGGAAAAGCTGCTGCCGATCCTTCCGACGATTCCCGATCGTTCGGATCGGTTATACGTCTTGATGTTGGTTTGCTTCGTGCTGTGGAAGCTTTGCCTGCCGTTGTTGAACACCGACGTGTGTGGGCATCTTAGCAGCACGCTGGATCACATGATTAAGGCGCTCGAGGGCTACCCGAACGCCTTTATCCCGCCATACGTCGTTTATTTGTTCTACGAATCCAGCCTGGCGGAGTTGAATCACGGCAGCCTCTCCGTGGCGAGGCTTCGCGCCGAAAAGGCGTTGCTTTGGAACCAACGGCATTTTTTTTACCGCCATCACGCGCGCGTCGGGGGGGTGGCGCCGCATGCGATGGAATTCGCGATCATGTGGCTTCGCCATTGCATCGAGGTGGCGGATGGCATGGCGTTCAACCACACCCCCGCATCCCTGGGGGATGAGGATCAGGTGTTGTTTTTGATTATGCAAGCTAAACGGGCGAAAAAGGGTATGAAACGCGTGCAATTTTTGAAAGACGCCTATGCGAAATTGGCGGCGTTGGAATCGATGAACGACAAGGGGAGAGGGGGGTCCGTGGAAGGGGAATCCACCGGGGCGCCGAGCACCTCGAGCTCGATGCTGCCGGAAACGCCCGCGTTGATCCCATTGCGGCGCCGGACGCGGGCGTCGTCGAGAATGCCGAGCGCGTTAATCGCGGAATGCCCCCCGCGGCGGTCTTTGGTGGAGCTTTGCGCGATGTTTTTGCAGGAATGCCGTCGTGAGATGACGCCCTCGCTGCTCACGATGATGAAAACAACCGCGGGCGTCTTGTGCGGGCTGTCGATTCGCCCGGACGGCCGCTTTCCCGAGTTGGTGCACCTTCAGGCGCAGGCGCACCTCATCTACGCCGAAATCATCGCCCTCGAATCGGACGGAAACGCGGCAAAAGGGGAGTTTCACGCGTTGGAAGGCGCGGAATTCCTTGTGCAGGCGACTGTCTTGGATGCGGCTTGCGTCGCGCGAGGGGCCTCCACAGGGTGGGTAACGGTCTCCGCGTGTGAGCTCTTTCTCCGGCAATACAACGCCCATTTATTGTTGGATAACGGCGGGAATCGCGGCATGCATCATTACCTGAACGAATTATACACGAACCACGCCCGGTTGAACACCCTGGTGGCTTCTGGGGACCCCACGTTATCCGTCAACCTCGCGTTCGCGTACGTTCTCTCCATGATTCGGGAGTACATCGAAAGCAAAGGCGCCATCCACGACGAGCTCGCCGTCGTCAACGTGGAGGAGTTCATCCGGCGGTTGTTTGGGTATCCGAAAACGGACGCGAACCACCCACTGCTGCGAAAAGCCTACGAGGTTTGCCAGGAGGTCGTGCAACGCGTGAAGGAGCCGTCCTGTAAGGTGCATCTTTGCCTGCTCCTCCCCTGCCTTTGTCGTCTGCTGGGGATGACGCCGAAGACGGATCCGACGGCGCCGCCGCAGGAGCAGCTGCTGCATCTCCTCGGCCGCGTTTCCGGGCCGATCCCGCGCGAGGAAAAACTCGCGCTTTTGAAAAAAGAAATGATGGAACTCCTCGCGGTAGATCCGTCGGTGCAGCTCTGCGGCCGCGTCGCGATGCTCGCGCTGGAGCTCCATCAGGATCACCTCGTGGCGGAGGCCTTTCGATGGGGGAACGCGCTCTACGCGAAAGGCCGACTCGCCTGGGGCTCCTCGCCCCCACGGACGAGCGTTTCCCCGGGGAGCACCCTCGCGAACTCCACCAACTCCACCATCACGACACCGTTGCGAAACGATCCGCCCGCCTTTCCATCCTCCCCGTTGGATACGGAGGGTTCGAATCCCCTTCTTCCCCCGCTTTCCACGACCCCGATGCAGCCGAATTCGGAGGATTGGATGTGGTACGCGCGGCTGTTATACTGCCAGGCCCTCACCTTCCATCGACGCATCCCGCAAGCGAGCCTCGCGATCGCGCGGCGGCTCTATGAGGGGATCCTTTCCCTCGCCACGAACGCCTCCCTGGCGGTGGCGTTCGCGTTGGAGGCCTCCCCGCCCTCTCGCGCGCACCTCGTGGAGGGGGCCCTCGCGCTTTATTATGAGGCCTTCTGCGGGGTCGGGTTCGCGGGGCATCGCCCTCCCCCGGCGATTTTGGTTTCCAGCTTGAAGGTGATGCTTTCAAAACGCATCCTGAGCCTCGTGTTGGACGGGAAGGAGATCCCAAGCGAGGAGGAAGAAGGAGGGGGAGGGAGGGGTGCGCGGAAGACGACCTCCCGGCTTCATCAATCGCTTTGTCAGATGAGCGCCGGTTGGTTTCGCGCCTACGCGATCACCAACGCGCGCGTGGCGGAGGTCGTCAGCGGGCTCGCTTACCTTCGTTCTAAATTACCGCTGTCGTTGCAAAAGCAGCTGGCTTTACTCGAGATCGTCTACACCGGGCGGGTGAATCAACCGGGGGAGCAGAAGGTGTCGGATATGCTCGGGTGTGATGCCGCCACGAAGGCGCTCGCGTGGATGGCGCTCGCGCGATCGGCGCCGCAAGGAGGGGGGGGGGAGCGTTTTGGACGCCAAACGCGATGCCGCCACGGTCGTCCGCCGCGTTTTCGTCCGCGGCCGGCTCGGGATCGTCGTCGTCGCTCATGGCGGTTTGGGAGGATGCGTTGAAGCAGGTGGAGAAGTTCAAACCCCTTAAGGCGCAGTGTTTGCTCGAGATGGTTCAATCGTGCCTTTTCCGCGGGGAGATGACCCCGGCGCAGGCGACCACGCGGCTCTTCTCCGCGCTTTTCGTAATCGAGGAGGAGTTAGGGGTGGAACGGCGAAAAGGCTCCCTCCTGAACTCCCCCCACGACGCCGCGTCGACGTTGGATTTTAACAAATCCCTCGAGGACATCCACAGTTTGGATTTGGGCTTGGTCTCCTACACGAACGACACCCTCGACTCGAACAAAGGGAGCCTGCCGTTGATGGATTCCCTCTCCCGCAGCTCCCGCTCCACGCGGGAGGCTGGCTACCTCGCCTCGGTCACGCGGGCGCGTTTTTTAGGAATTCACATTCTCTACGCCCTCTTCCACCTCGCCCCGGAGGCCTTCCCCGAGGAGGGCGATCGCCTCGCGCGGTCGACGGCCTCCTCGGACGGGATTCACGCCGGGCGGTTTCGCAAATTCAACGTCGCGGTGCACCTCGTTAAACACGCGCGGATGCTCTGGGGGTGGCTGACGAGCCCGTCGACCTCGCCAGGCGAAGGGACGGCCGCGTGGCGGCTGCCGAACGCCCTCGGCGAGTGGCTTCCCTTCGACTTCTCCGAGGCCGCCTGCGAGGCGGTGCGGGCGAGCCCTGGGGTGGATCTTTCGCTGAACACGGAATCCTTCCAGGGGGTTTTGTTCGACGTCGCGGAGTTTCTCGTGGACGGGGTGGCGCCGCAGTTCGGCTTCGTGTTGTATCACCTGATTCGCTTTTTGGCGGTTTTGCGGTATGGCGGGCGGAGCGCCCGCACGGAGGCCG